AGCCAGCTTTCATGCCTAAGGCAGGACTAGAACTCACAGTCTCCTGCTTTCTAGCCTGGTGGCTTAACCAGAAGACCAAACTAGATTTTAGTAAGGCAATAACATAAACAGTTACAGACTTGATATTTGTGTATAGAAAAACTAATTTTATAATTGTCCTTCAAGCCATTTGTTTATGTCCTTTTTATCAAACTACCTTTTATAACAGCTTTTTCCAATCTTTTATTCTAAATGTACCTATCATTTGAGTTTCTTCTGATGTCTCTGAGAGCTCCATCTCTTTCTCTTTTTTTCTCTCTCTCTTTCAGCTTTGATAACTCATTTATATCTTTTACTTGTGTCTCTTGCAAGCCTCAGCAGGAGATCACAAGTGCTTACTGACAGTATCCAAAGACTCACAGCATGTAGAGATGTCCAGCATAAAAATCTTAACCACATGGGTCCCTGTAATAATCCACAATAAACCATGAAAACACTTGAGTGTCTGTATTAAGGATTTCTGGCTGCTTGTTTGGAGAAATTGAAATATAATTTGGAAACATACCTAGCAGGAAAAATGGGCTAGTATTACTTGACATTGCAGTACTATTTATCAAAAAACCCAGGTTTAGCAAAATGGACTTCTTCAAGATTGTAAATTTCAATTGACCAAGAAGAAATAATATAGTTCAAAAGCACATGTTTAATTCATTGGGACAGTTTCAAGATCTAGAATTAGTTTTCTAATTGTAGAAATATTCTGTATCCAAGCAAGAGTCACCCTTAAAGTTAAATATAAATACATTTTCAAGAACGGAAAACATCTCAGTAGGAAAACTGGATACTTGATCCCATCCCAAATATTCTAACTCACAGTTTAAATCCTAGTTCTTAAAATAATAATAATAGAAGTAGTAGTAGTAGTAGTAGTAGCATAGTTACCGATACATCCAGTGTGATTATGATAGATAGATAGATAGATAGATAGATAGATAGATAGATAGATAGATAGATAGATAGATAGATAGATAG